ACTTGTAATGAGAAATGTAATATGCCAAGTTCTTTTCCCTTCTAATTATATTAAATTGAAAGTAAAATGATAAATTTCTTCTAATTTTCATAGTAAAGAAAATGAAATAATTGTACATTATATATTATAATACATATACTTCTAACTATTATAAGATGTATTGTAATACATGTGTGTGTATATATGTGTATATAATATATACAGTCGACCCTTTGGAATCAATGTTCTATATCCATAGAATATTCCAACAATGAATTGAAGATAATCCCCCCAAAAATCATAAAAAAATCAAAACACAACAGTAAAAAATAATATAAATAAAAAACAATACAATATAGCAACTATAGGGTTTTCGGAAAAGTCATGATGCATTTTTGCACATCATGACTTTTTTGACAACCCAATATAATAATTGCATAGCATTTACAGTGTATTAGGTATTATTAGTGTTCCTGATGTGATTTTAAAAATAAGGGAGGAAGTTTATAGGTTATATCTAAAGACAAGGCCATTTTACATAAGGGACCTGATTATCCCTTATGTAAAATGGATTCTGGTGTCCTTTTGGTCCTGGAACCAGACCCATGGATATTAAGGGACAACTGTGTGTGTGTGTGTGTGTGTGTGTGTGTGTGTATGTATGTGTAAAGAGAGAGAAAGAGACAGACAGCCTAGGAAGACTACCACTACATAGATTTCTTTTTAATTGCCAGGGGGTGTACAAACTTGAAAGAGATAGAAATGGAGAAAGTACCCCTCAATGGAAGGTGGTCACACTGCTGTCCCTTCTCCATTTCTCCACTCTCTTGGGATTTAGGGCGTACGTACACTTGCACATGGCATAGTTTTCAAGCTACCTAGGCTGGTGTTTAAATCATGGTAGGCCATGTGGTATCTAGTTCCCTTAAATATTGAGCTATAGGGGCAGCCCTTACATGTGTTATAGTTAATAATTGTTAAAAGCCCATTTGTGTTTGACATCAATGTCTATTCATTTTCCTGTGGACTTATGTTGCAGGTTGCTTGTGGTGGATGTCACATGCTAGTTTTTGCCACTCCACGACCTAGTGTGGGAGATGAAATAGATAAAATATGTGATTCTTATATACCTGCATCTGCTTATCTGCCCACTATGGATCTGACTTCAGGAAACACACTGCAAAGAACTCTTTCAGCACGTGTGCGACGAAGAGAGAGGGTATAGTTGTAGTCTGTTCTCTATGGTAGTATTATAGTATTATCTAACACTGCAAAGAAAACTTGAAGAAAAGAATCCATGTTTGTTTTTTTTAAAACCACAGTAGAATCTTCTCAGATAAATTTACTAAATAAAATGTTTATAGTTGAGGGTTTACAGACTTTTAAAGTGAATTCAAAGTTAAGCTATTAAAGATGTCAATTAGTAAATGCAAATTATTATTAATAACTTTTGCTTATAGAGAGCAGTACTAAGCAAAGCATCCTTTTATAGTCCTTTCTTAGTACCTACGATTGAATGCTGAATTGTTTTTCAACTGCATGTGGATCAATTTCTACTTTAGCTTGTTATATATATATTTTTTTTAATTCATGTATTAAAAGCAATTAAGGGAACCAGCAGTTAGCGTAATGGCTATGTCGCTGGACTCCCACGTAGTCGACCGCGGTTCGCGTCTCGGACCCGGTGGCTTAAAACTCATGCCGGGCGGATGTGCGTGCATGCCCAAGATCCAAAAAAAAAAGCAATTAACATGTAATCTCTCGGGGGACCAGCAGATGGCACAATGGTTACGTTGTTGGACTCCCAAATAGTCAACCATGGTTCAAGTCCTGGACCTGGCAGCTTAAAGCTCACACTGGGCACAAGTGCATGCGTGCACAAAATCCTGAGAGGACAATAGAGGAGAAGGGATTGCAGCATGGCCATCCCCCAAGGGGGGGATTTCTCGCTTTCTGTCTGTCTGTATATCTCTCTGTCTCTCTGGCAAGTGCACATGCCCTATAGGAAAAATCTCTCTCAAAAAAAAAAGCACTCTCTCCATTTAACAGATTTTTATGTATATGATACAGTATTTCTAACTGTAAATCCAGTGTTATATTGTACAACAGATCTCTAGAACTTAGTCATCTTGCATAATGATACATTCTTTTATCTTATAAATCATGACCAGTGGAAGGTTATATTAGTATAAGCAATGAAATGTGCAAAGACTTCAGTTTGAGAGAGGGAATATTCTCTCTCAATTAGATACTCTCCTTCTGTGATTTAAAATTACTTGTTCAATAACATTTACATTTTTCTGAAAAAAAAAGATGCCAAGTAATTTCTTTTTCTTTCCTTTGTTTTAAGAGGTTTTTGCCTTAGGGCACATGCACTTGCTGGGGGGAGAGAGAGACACACAGTGAAAGGGAAAGTGAAAAATTACCCCCCAGGGAGATGGCCACACCACACCGCAATCCCTTCTTCTCCATTCTCCTCCCAGGATCTTGGGCATGCACACACACACAGGCCTGGCATGGGTGTAAAGCCTCTGGGTCAGGTACTTGAATCACAGTCAGCCATGTGGGAGTCCAGCAACGTAATCACTATGCCATCTGCTGGCATTACGCTAACTGCTGGTCCCAAGGAAACATTTGTTCTTTAAAAACCCCTTTGAGTTCCAGAATGTATTTCATTTGATGTAAAAAGATTAAGTTTGACTTTTTATTATGAAAAAATGTACAAGGAAAGGTTGAGAAATATCTTAGGAGTGTTTTGTAATTGTCTATTTATATCATTAGTAGTTGTTTTTCAGGGAAGGCAGAGGAAATGCATGCATACTTTTCCCCCAGTCACTGAAAAACAGGTTTCCAAATTGACAATTTAGAGCATCTTAGATACAGAGACAACAGAATAAAACATATCTGAGCCCTTAGGGATTATTAAGAAGTGAATGTTGTTGAATGTTGATAGAATGAAGTCTTTCTCTTAAATATTTTTAGCAACCGCAAGGAAGTATATGTCAATATTTAGTATAAAACATCATTTGACAGTTTATTTAACCTGCTTATTTTAAAGGACAAATCCCCAGATTCTTTACGAATGACGAGAACACTACCTCCGATAGAAGGAGCTACCGCCACACCTGTTTGTTTTTCCCCCAGTTTAGTCCCTTTTCGTTTTTCTTTTTGTACCCTGCCACAGAAAGCCATATCTGAAAAGGAAGACCTTGAGCAGTCATTGAAACCAGGTAACATTTGCTACCCAACCTGCTGTCAGGACAAATATCCCTCTTATTCCTATTGCTTTCATATTTATCTTAAGATATTTTCTCCAGTTAAATTGTTCTTTTCCTGATTAGATCTTAACATCACTCATGTGAACTCAAATCCAGGAATAAACAGAAAGCACCATCAGTGGCCCTCAGAATGCCGTGTTACCACAGCAGCATATCTTTATAGAGCAGTAGACACCATACATAGGACCTTCCTTTTACATTATCTCTTTTGAACCCTGCAGCAACTTCATGAAATAGGTAGCAGTTAGAGTCCTCATCTTACAGATGGCAAAATCAAAGATTGAAGAGATCAAGTGACTTGTGCAGGGTCACTTAGCTTATAAATGAAGTGGACAGGATTTGAATACAGTTCTTCTGGACATATGTGAAGTTTTATATTTAGGTAGTATAGCACAGTGTTTGAGAGCAGGGGATATGGAGTTAAATTGATCTGGGCTTGGATGCCAGCCGTACCATTTACTATGTGACTCACTTTGGAAAAGTTACTTACTCTTAAGCCTCAGTTTCCTTGTCTTTGAAATGGGTTGAATAATATGTATGCTGGAGAGTGATTGTGTAGATTAAATGAGATCAGGGATCTATTGGGTCCTTGGAAAAGTCATGATGCATTTTTGCATAGAAAAGCCATAGAAAAAAAACATCATGACTTTTCTGATGACCCATGAAATACTTAGCATTGAGCCCTATAGCTTTAGAAACCCTTTAACAAATAAGTGTTATGATTATTATTAACATCTCTACCTCACTGCCTTTTAGATGTAGATTCCATGGTTCAAATTGTAGTCACCCTAGCTCTTTC